CCTTAGGTAGCATATGGATGTTTCCTCATTAAAAACCTTGAAGGTAAAACCCTTTTTGGGATAAAAACTCGATCGAAGGAAAAGAGTGCAACGCATGCTTTTGAAACCTAAGGCCTTCGAGTTGGAGAGTGCTTCGGCTGTTTTGATCGGATATCTGCACTCGGGTCAGCGTAGAATGTAATTGAAAGAGAAAGGAGACGGTCATACCTTAGTGTAGAATGTGTCGGCGATGTTTCGAGCCCTGATGTGTTTCAATCTCTTGTGATGAGGATGTGGTACGGTCTCCTGCTTTATTTAGCCGGGAGTAGCCGAGAGTGTAGCTTGTTATCGCTATTTTACTGTTTGCTTATCCTTCGGCTCCTTCGAAGGTGGAGGTAACGGTATCGGGGCCACATCGTGCACCGCAAACATTTCTCTCGCCGCATGCTGTTCCCCGTAGACGGTTTTAATCCCATCCTTTGTCGGGAATTTCATCATTTGATGGAGGGTGAATGGCACTTCTCTCATGCAGTATATCCATAGCCTTCCGAGCAAGGCGTTGTACCTCATGTCTCCCTCGATGACATGGAATTTTGCATTTTGGGTTGTGCCGGCCACGTTGACTGGGAGGGTGATTTCCCCTTTTGTCGTTTCGCTCGCCATGTTGAATCCGTTGAGAACTCGAGAGGCGGGTACGATTTGGTGAAGCAGTCCGAGCTGCTCTACCACCCTCGACCTGATAATGTTGGTCGAGCTACCCAGATCCTCAAGTACACGTTTAATTTGAAATGTATTTACAAGGAAAGAGATTACCAGTGCGTTGTTGTGAGGTTGAGAAAAGGTCTCGATGTCCTCGTCGCTGAATGTGAGGGCATCCTTGGGTATGTAGCCCCGAGTCCGCTTTTCTCTGGTGATGGATATTTTTGTTCTTCTTATCATGGGCTCTTGTGGGGCATCGATGCCTCCCAAGATCATGTGGATGACATGTTGTGGCTCATTCATTTCGTTCTTCTTGGCCGCCTCTCTTTCCCGGAATTGATTTTTGGCATGGTCGCTTAGGAATTCTCGAAGGTGACCTTTATTGAGTGTCTGGCTACTTCTTCTCAGAGCTGGTGACAATCCTCGGTCCTGTGGCCGTGCGTGTTGTGAAATTCACACACTAAGTTATGATTCCTTTGTGAAGGATCTGATTGTACAGGCCCGGGCCATATGGCATCTCTGATTTTACTGATGGCGAACACAATGTCTGATACGTCGACGTTGAAGTTGTATTCTGACAAGCGAGGTGCCTCTGTTAGCCCTATGTGCCTATCAAATCCGGCTCTGTTGACGAGTCCCCGAGGATTCTGTCCTCGGTCCATCATTCGATCGTTGCGGGGTATGTTGCGCCTCGGAGCGTTTCTCCTGTCTTCGATGTATGGCTGGTACCTTTCTTTGTTTGGTTTTGGCTCCTTTGCCAGAAGTCTGCTTGGGTATACCGAGCCCGGGGGGGCTCCTAGTTGGTCGTCCTCGACCCTGATTTTCGATTGGTATCGGTTGTGAATGTTCGACCAAGTCACGGAGGGATATTAAACCAGATTCTGTTTCAACTGCTTCGAAGCCACTGAGTTTCGTTCATTCAGACCTTGAGTGAAGGCCTGCACTGCCTAGTCGTCGGAGACTGGTGGTAGTTCCATTCGTTCCATTTGAAAGCGAGATACAAACTCTCGCAGCATCTCATTCTCCCTCTGCTTAATTTTGAAGACGTCGGATTTCCTTGTTGCTACTTTGATGGCACGGGCATGTGCCATAATGAAAGAATCCGCCAGCATGGCAAACGGATCTATCGAGTTTGGGGCCAGGTTGTGATACCACATCATTTCCCCTTTAGAGAGTGTTTCCCCGAACTTCTTCAGCAGGACGGACTCGATCTCATCGTCCCTCAGGTCGTTGCCTTGCACCGCACAGGTGTAAGTAGTAACGTGCTCATTGGGGTCCGAGGCTCCGTTGTACTTAGGAAGATCTGGCATTCTGAACTTCTTTGGAATGGGTTTCGGAGCCGCTTCCTGCGGGAACGGCTTTTGCACGAACTTCTTTGAATCCACACCTTTCAGGATCGGGGGTGCTCCCGGAATCTGGTCGACTCTGGAATTGTAGGTGTCGACCTTTTTGTCGTTGGCCTCTATCTTTTTCTCGCCCGATTTGATCCTCTTCGTGAGATCCTCGAGCGTCTTTACGATGGCGGGGTCGGCTGCCGACCCGTTGTTGCTTGATCTCTCTGGTACCTGCTCGGCTGGGGGAGCCGTCCCCGATGCTACCGTGCTAGGATTTTTCTGGTGACTTTGCAGCTGAGCAATAGCCAGCTGTTGTGCCTGCAACATTTCAAAAATAACGTGAAGGCTAACCTCCCGTTCTTCCCTAGCTGGGGTTTTCTAGGCTTCTTGTTGGTCGACTTGGTGTATGCTCCTGTTGGTGTGGGAGCTTATTTCGACGTGTTGAGCGTCACGTGAAACCGCGTCCACGGGAATTGGTTCCGGTGCATTCTCAGGGTTTCGTGGTGGAACACAAACACCTGAGACGTCAACACCATTTTCTCTATGGTCTTCAAGGTTGATGTTTTCTCGTGCGTTTACTGAGTTAGGCATTTTGACCCGAAATCAAAGATCTTGGACAAGAAAAAGTGTGAAAGATAACTTGCGTTACGTGGTTAAACCAACAAGAAAATAATCACTATTATTTTTAGCCCCACGGTGGGTGCCAAACTGTTTACCATAAAAATGGTAATAACAATTAAATTTGATTTTGTGAGGTTCTAAAAATACGTGATCTATTTTTATGCTAGTTGTTAAGCAGTTGATATTATGCGAAGGACTTAGGAGCGAGATAGGAGCTTAAAAACTAGATATTAACCAAACCGAATCACTGTCAGTCGAGGCCTCAAGATTGCTTATCCGGAGCTTCTAGGTCGAATCGGATGCTCGGCTGGGAGTTATCGAGGGTAGACGATGGCGACTAACAGTTGTAATAAGATCAATGACGACTCTTTATGGCCAATAATAAGCAATAAATGATGAACAATAAATAGAACGCAATGAATGCAAGCAATAAATGAAGTAATGAACTCAAGAGAATGTGTTAGAGAGCAGAGAGAATGTTCTTGTATATTTTAGTATGGAGCCTCAAATATTTACAAAATGACAATGATCCCCTTTATATATGAGGGGGAATCCCAACATAGTACAAACGCATTCATTACAAAGATATGGGGCTGGTACAACCATTTAATGCCTTGATTCGCCTTTTGGGCTAGTCCACTAGACTTGACCTGCCATATGCACGTGCCTTGGAAACTCCACCTTGATCCACCGAGACCGGTGATTCACATTGTCTCGGGGCAGGTCGTTTCTCATAACGTCTCGAAGTCGAACTGTCTCGAAATCGACCGTCGAGAATTCTCGGAGTCGAACACTGGAAGCCCTCAAGATGCCGTGATGCTCGTGAAATCGAGCCATCGATTTCTACCGTATACAATTTCATTACTCGCCTTCTTAAACAAAGATTTCATTAGTTCAAGTGTTCAACAATACCTTTAAGTTTCCAATAGTTCTATACTTCTATTGCTCTGTAAAATTTTATCTAAGATCAACAATATCTCAAGAAAGATTAAATGAGTTGGTTATATTATCAAATGAACATGAACTATTTGAGAAAATCGATTATAAAAAAATAATTAACAACTTTCTATCTCAAAAAGTTAGTAGAGTAGACTTCAAATAAAAAACAGATCTTATAACTTTCTTTTAAAAATTTAGGCCTCAAATTAAACTATGGCTTTAGGCCCCGTATGTGCTTGAGCCGCCCCTGCACATCACCTTATTTAAGTTATGAGGTGATATTAATATTTCAGTAACGATGATGAGTTTTACACAAATAATTCAAGTCTAAATTAAAAATTATGCGTTCATATATTACTAGATCCGCTATAAAGATCAAAAGGTCATCTCACTAGAGCAAACAATGCAATAAGTAGTGCAGCCATTTTTCACCCGACCGGATGCTTTTGCACGTGGGAAAATGGCCAAAATTTCACGGTATAGCCAGTTTTCGGACTGGTCAATCAAAAATAGCCAGCGTTTACCAAGTCAATGAAAAATAGCCATCGTTTTGCTGCAATAGAGACCGGTCCAGCATAATATACTGGAGTTCGGTGCACTTGTGTATGAACTCCAGCATATTGTGCTGGACCGGTATACTTTGCTGGCTCCAGTATAATATACTGGAGACTGGAGCACTGGTGCTTTAAACTCCAGTATATTATACTGGACCATTATACTTGCTGGAACTCCAGTATATTATGCTGGAGTTCTAGTGTATTTATGCTGGAACTCCATCATATTATACTGGAGTTCAAGTATACTTATGCTGGAACTCCAGCATAATATACTGGAGTATTTTCCGGGTTTTGAACAGTGTTTTTGCCCAGATTTATCTTTACATAAAAAGTGGCTAAATTTCGATTACTTTTGAAATTGGGCTATTTTTGAACGACCAGTTGTAAATCTGGCTATTTTTAAAAATCACCCGGGAAAATGCTATTCACAGGTTATCCATTTTTTTAAATAATACTCCCTCCCTTTCTAAAATTGAAAATAATTTACCTTAAACTTACATTCTACCCTTAATGAGAAGCTTTTATAACCACACAAATACTCTGTACCCCTTTTGACTTGTTTAGGACCACAAATTCTAAAAGTTTTCATCTTTTCTTAAACTTCGTGACTAGTCAAACAGATTCACATAAATTGAAACGGAGGGAGTACTACATACTGTTTTCCTCCAATCAATTAAAGTAGTCACTGTTTAAAATTGATGGTGGCAATTTTAAGACACTTGTCCATTACCAGACAGGATAAGTTACTTGTCGAAGAACCTTGGTGTGTAATTTACAATATGCTATCCAAATCTACGAAGAGCCAATAAATTCAAAGCAAACTGCCAGGTGGCCTTATAAAAATCATCAAAGGAAAAAGTAATCCATTTCATAAGAATCAGTCAAACTAAAATTTGCCATTGTTGAAATTCCCTTACGAAACATGTCATCTTTTCATTCTTCTCTGTGCTTCTCTGTTCAGAAATTACCATCAGAGCAACATATGAGTCTTTTATCAACAAAACCAAAATCCATTCTCCAAAAAAACCCACTCTATCAACCAACTCACAAGAACATTTCATTGCAATTCAAGGAGAAAATCTTGTGCTTGGAAATCATGGGTGTTGATTCAGGAAAAGCACTCTCTCAAAACCCTTGTCTCCACACAGCTTCTTTACACACTATTCATTCCATCATCACTTTCCTTCAGTCCAAAGGCCTTCACCAAAAGGACTTTGCAAGAATCTTTGGCATGTGCCCAAGAATCTTGACATCAGATATAAGATGTGAACTCAATCCAGTTTTCAACTTCCTCTCAAAAGACCTAAGAGTCCCTGAAAGTAACTTCAGAAGGGTCATTAACAAATGTCCAAGATTACTAATTTGCAGTGTCAAAGACCAGCTAAAACCAGCTTTGTTTTATCTTCAAAGACTTGGGTTCAGAGATTTGCATCATTTAGCTTATCAGGATCCAATATTACTGGTTTCCAGTGTAGAAAATACGTTAATACCCAAGCTGGAGTATTTGGTAAGTCTAGGATTTTCAAGAAATGAAGCAGTGGAAATGACTTTGAGGTGTCCAGGGCTCTTCACTTTCAGCATTGACAACAATTTCAAGCCTAAATTTGAATACTTTTCTCAAGAAATGGGAGGTGAATTGGATGAATTGATGGAGTTTCCTCAGTATTTTGCTTTTAGTTTGGAGAAGAGGATAAAGCCAAGGCACATTGAACTTGTACAGAGTGGAGTTTCAATTCCATTGTCTTTGATGCTCAAGACTACTGATGAAGAGTTCAAGGAGATGATAAGGCAACAAACTGGATAAATTAATCTCATCTCTCTGTAAATCCTTAATTTGCTAACATATTTCTTTATATTTTCTCAAACACCCTTGTTTAATGTAATGTAAATTTGGCTAATAATTTTCAATAGGGAATGCATATGTGACTAGAGGATCATTTTCTGATATATTCATTTGGCTTTTCTTCAGAAATAATGTTCGCCCAGAGAGTCAAAACAATTTTTTTCTTTGAACTCGATTTTTATAATACTAACTGTTATAGCAGTTCAGGTGTGATAACTAAGACTGTATTGATAAATTTTAAACTCAATTTTTATAATACTAATTTCAGATCTCAAAATAAATTTTGGCCTTTCAACTTTAGAGAGCACACGTGTCAGCTATCTAAGACTGTATGGATAAACACTGGAGCAACCAGTAAGCCGTCCCGGTATTGGTGCTACTGCTAACTTATAGCCCGGTTGGCCAAGCTGCAAAAATCAGCTTATTTTGAGAAGTGCTTTTTTTCAAAAGTGCTTTTCTCAAAAGTACTTTTAGTGAGAAGCAGTTTGTGTTTGGCTTATTAGTTTGAAAAGCACTTCTGAGTAGCAATTAGTGTTTGGCCAAGCTTTAAAAAATTGCTTCTTAGTGTATTTTTCTCAAAAGTGCTTCTCAAAAAAGTACTTTTGGAGAGAAGCTACTTTTTTCTGCTTCTCCAAAACTGCTTCTGCTTCTCCTCGAAAGCACTTTTTTTCCTTCCAAAAGCTTGGCCAAACACCTCAATTTTTTGCCAAAAGTGCTTTTGGCAAAAAAAAAAGCACTTTTCACGAAAAAGAAGTTTGGCCAAACAGGCTATTATTCAGAGAAGGTTTCAAAGGACTTTTCGAGATTTCAACTTCATCATGTCACTCATTCTTTAGAGCATCATTTTTACTAATACCAAATTCTCTTTTCAAATTAGGAGCTCAATAATGATGTTTTGAGTTCTGAAATTAGTAATGTTTTGATCTTGATGTCAAGAACTGGGAAAAAAGTAAGAGCGAATTGGAGAGAAGTGAGTTGGGGAATGGGTTGAAATAAGGGGCGGGTTTGTAAAAGAACCAAGTTTAAAATTTGGGATGACTCTTTTGTTCCCGTGTGCCACTTGTCCAGGCGGTTAAAATAATTTGATTGACGGCAAGAATACATTGATTGAACGAAAAGTATAATAGGGATTACGATTGATAAAATAAAGTAGAGAGGTATACGAGGCACTTTTCCGTTTTTTTTTTTTGTTGCTCCTAGTCCTTCTAAAGGTCCATCTGTTTGGTAGAAAGCATAAAAAATCGCGTTCTGATATTTTTTGGATAATGATTTTTCAACCTATATGTTAATCTTAACCCAAAAGCTATTGGTTCACACATACACACACACAACTATATTGTTAAAGAGAGAAAATTCTAATAAGACATCCCCTTCAACACACCCTATACAACACAAGTGCTATGCGAACAACTTGGCATCCGTTGATCATTTTTCATCAGTAGCATTTAAGCAATCTGAAGTACAAACTTCCTTGTTTCTTTTTTCTCACATGCGGGTAAAGGGCATAGATAATAAAACTGTTTCTCAGTGACGGAAGAAGATATCTGCAGAAAGGAATGCTGCCCAAGTATCCTACAAAAGAGAGAAAAAAGGATTGAGAAAAAGAGAGTTTAGGGACTCTGGTAGTTCAGTACAGTGAACATTATTGATCAAATCTAGACCTGAAGTATGGAAAATGCCTTCTGTGCAACATATTTTTGCACAAGGGTTGCTTTTCTTTGTTGCAATTTGTCCGGATACAAACAGAGTCTTGCTTTCTGATAAGTCTTCTTCACATGTGCACTGTCTATTAAGTTTGTTAATGGAATTGGAAGCCACCCACTTTTAGGCCATACAATCTGAGAAAATTTGGGAAGAGGGAGTCATGTTCAGTGAATCTTTCCAGCAATCACAAACTGTAAATCATTGATTTATTGACAGAAACGGGGTATAATCTTACATGATGTAGTGTTGAAAGGAGCAATCAGATGTCAGCTTCCTTGCCAGTCGACCATAGCGTTACCTTTTCATCCAGTAACTCCAATTCCATCTGTACCCATTATAAACAGACTTTTACACGAAGCTTGAACTTCTCAATGTTCGAAACATCTACGTATTGAATTCTATATGCTTTATAGAATAATAGAGCACCATAACACATCTTAACTAGACTCTTTGGAAAGCACTGCTGTAGTCATTGAGAGATATAGTTTAAGTCATGGACTTGGAATCCATGATAGATCTCATTACTTATATGTTGATATTGCTATTTCAGCTGAAACTTTGTCAAGGAACTAGAAGAGCCTATCAAAATCAATATTGCTAGAGATTAACTGGCAACGAAAAACCCAATTATAAGAATATCATTGATTTATTAGGTCTGTAACTCCGTATGGTACTCCCTCGGGTCCACAATAAGTGACCATTTTACCTTTGGCACACCTATTAAGAAAATACGAACTCCTAGAGAAAAAAAGAAGATGTATTCACTAAATTAACCTTAATTGATTGTTACCTTGACACATTGGAATATGTAAATAAGGACAAATTTTGAGAAAATAAAATTAATTCCTTCTTGATTATCTAAATGGACACTTATTTTGGACCAAAATGAAAAGGTAAAATGGTCACTTATTGTGGACCGGAAGGATAACTAACTAAGAGAAAATTGAAGCTTACATCATTCTGAAGTTGCAGTCTTTCTTCTCCAGTTGCCCATTTATCCGGTTCCTCATCCTGCAAAAAGAAGTTATGCTAGAAAAACTAAGAGGACAAATTGTCTTTAATCTCAACATTATGAAACCACACCCCTTCCCTGTTTCCTGCAGTGTCAAGATATTGTTTTTTTCTTTCTTAGGCTTTCATGATATTGTTTATCGGCATTTCAAAGTACATTTAACTTTTTATCTGCACTATTGTCAATATATCTATTTTTCCTCTTTGTTTTGTAAGTATATAAATGGAGGCAGTGAAAAAATGGAAAACAATAAGATCACATATGGCGTTCTTTCACTTGCTTCTGTAGGGAGCAAATAAGAGATAATCTGAAACATGTTGGGGGTGAACAAAAAGAGGGGAAGAAATTTTGGTGGATTGGACTGTAAAATTCTCTGTTTTTCTCAGATTTCTCTACTTAATTCTCCAGAAAAAATCCCATCAGTTCCAAGTGAAAATCATTATATCCTTGACAATCTGTACTCCTTTGTATAAACATAGGAAGGGAGAGTTTTATTGACTCCCCTGCCCTCTCCTCTTCTCAACTTTCCGAACAAAATTCAAGTTTCGCTTATTATACCAACAGAGATATATGCATTAAATAAAGATGTCTTGCAAGATCATTGCCAAAAATTACCGTAGTTATTTTGGTCAATTCATGTCCATCTCTTTGTTCCTCCAGAAACTGATGTAAAGTGGACACTTCTGCAAGTTGAAAAATAGCCAGAAACAGTGATGTTAACGGGAATTCAAAAGAGAATATATTTGAAATAGAGAGAAATAGTCCTTCATCGCACCTTCTATCTCTCCTGACTGCTGTTTTTCCTCTTCAAACCTCAAATTATTCTCTGAACAGTGTCCTTGGAACTTCTCTTTAGCCCAAGCAATAGCTTCATGGACCGCATTTTCTTCCTCCGCTGATCCTTCTCCATAATCGGGGTTGACTTCAATAACATAAGAGCTCATGATTTCATCTTCATCTTGCTCCGACGTTTCTAGTTGAGACATATTATGTTGATCTCTGCAGGCTATGCTGTCATCATGCTCTTTACAAAGTGAGGAGGAGACAATAGAGGAAGGCGAGTTGAGCTCGAAAGCATTTGTAGACACCTTGTGGTTGCTAGAAGAAATGGGATTCATACTAAATGATTCGGGAGATGAATTTCTTCGGTTGAATGCAAGATTATTGCTTCTGAAATCCTCACTGTGCTCGTTTTTGGTGTTATTGTAAGGTGGATGGCATGAAAATACTGGCGTTCCCTGCAGCCCTTGGTATTCTTCATACATCCTTCTAGTTGAGTTCCATCCAGTTGGTACATTTATTGGTCTAAAAATGCATAAAACAACCATGGCATACGTCAAGATCTTCTTTCATTATAAAAGGGCAAATGTGGTAACATCTACCAACAAACCATCTCTACAGTATTGCTGATGTCGTGCCACAAGGCATGACCATGGAAGTAATGAAAAAGAAAAATTAATAATTGGGCTAAGGGATAGATCTACATGAAAATTTTTATTTTGTGTCTCATACAACTGAGACTAGTAGTTTTTTTTGGCATCTTTTTTGTCTCACAGGTTAGAAGTGTAAGATTTGGGGTCTACAAATTTGTGAGATAAAAAGGAACCTCACACAACTAATGTAAGTTGTGTGAGGCACACAATAAAACTTCTCGATCTACATGATATGGATAGAGAATGATCTTCGCCAACTGCTTATCTCTCTTCCTCGCATTTCATGCATAACCTAAAAATCTATCTTCATAATTTTGAGGCATTTTCCAAATATTTCTGCGCAAGTCCGACAAAGTTATAGTACTTGTTTTGCCGTCAACAATGTTACACTCACCATCCAAAATTAGGTGTTTATCGATTAAAATTTCAAAACCCTGACAAATTTTATTTCAGTGAAATATATATTTAAGTTAATAGTTAACATTGCTTTAAACTTAAACCTCTATCATTTGAAGAAAGGTGTTCAATTCAACTTACAATTTCACTAAGAAATTTGATCAAATTATCCTTTAAAAAGTTACTATGCAGTAAATATTTAACAAATAACAGTTTTTCCCTAAATTAAGGAATTTCAATTGCAGCATCAACTATATCCAGTCCCTCTACATAAAAGCTTTAGTCAGCTCCATTACATCATATAACTTCTTCTTAAACAAAGGACAAGGTTTAATTCTCAATAAATCCCAATTATTGATTAGTCAAAATGTTTTTCTCCTTCGGAAAAAATATATTTTGTCCTTTCAAATGACACAAAGACCCCGGAGGGAAAGAAGAAGAATATCTAAACCCAGTGTAATATAAACCATACATGTAAAATTCCTAGGTTCATACGGAAACTGGAGGTAACAGTAGAGTACGGAGTAAATATATACCTGAGTTTTGTAGCGAAGAACGAAATGTCGTCATAACATTCGCCACCGATAGCCGGCCGGAGGGGGCTAACGTCCTCTGAGCTCAACGCCGACGAAGAGCTCGCCTTGGACTTAGAACCTGACCTCGTCCTCGACCTTCTCATCATTTCTTCTTCTTCGTTGCATCCAAATATATCGCCATAAAACCCGTGATCAATTCTCCGGCCACCTTTTTCTACCGGAATCCTGAATTCCGGCAAGTTTTGGTAACACCTCGCCGGAGCCATACTCGCCTGCGGTCGAAACATCTCATCGTAGGATAAATTTGAGGGCCTGGTATAATCATCGCAGGCGGAGAACTGCCGTTGAAGTACACTGCGAGGAGGTCCTCCGAATACGTCACTGAAATCTTCGGGGGCCAATTCAGAGTTGCCGGAGATTTCCCGCCGGCGACGAGTTGTGGCTTCCATGGAATGCCGGCTGGGAAGACTGGTTTTTGTTGTTGTTGTGGTGGTGAAAGGCATTCCCATTTTCATTCTCCAGGACTCGTCCATTTTCTCAGGCGAAGTATGCCGGCCGGTGAACTGTAACAAGCTTCACAGACGAGATGATCACTGGCTATATTGCCTTTATATATACAGATGGCAATTGTATATTGATAGGTCTTGAACATAATGTAGCTGTCATTCACAACACTTTAAAGATACTTTTTATTAATTATTATTATATCTTTTTTTTCCTTATTGATCCTTTTAAAAGATATAAGAAAATAAATAGAAAAAGGACCACTTCTCTTGGTTTGAGTCCAGTTCCCCATTTTGCATATGTAATTTTACTTATTTGTTAATGTAAGCTTTGTAATTCGGGTTTGATTCCAAAGGTAGTAATTTGTTAATAATTGTCATTAGGGATGTTTTTGGTACGAAGGAAAATATTATTTTTTTCTAATTTTTTTATATTTAGTTGACTTAAATGTTTTGAAAAATATTTTTTTCATGGATTCATTTTTCTCCAACCGTCCTACCAAAAAGAGGATTTTTTTTTTCAAAATTCTTTTCAACCTTCCCCACTCTAGTCCCCGCCCTACCATGCACCCCCATCCTTGCCCCAACCCCAAAGCCACCACCCCACCTCCACTCCCACTCCACCCCCCGTCACCCCACCACCCTTTCCCCTAACCTCGCCACCAGAGGCGGATCCACATACAGTGGAGTGGGTGCTCGAGCACCCATTGATCCCAGCTAGACAAGCATACGCTTATACAGAAACTCTAAGAATTTTGACATATCCATTGAGCGAAAGCTACGTGGGTGCGTTGGCAAAAGAAGTGGAAATCAGAGCTGCCGCTAGCTTTGAGGTCTTTAGTTCGATTCTCGCTTACAATGCCGATTTTATGAACTTTTGCTGATTCTTCTTTTACGTTTTATTCCCTTCTTGTTTCTTCTTCTACTCGCTGGCTTTGGTTCTTTAATTTCTTCAATGCAGATCTTTTTTTTTACTAGACTTCCCCTTTTATTTTCCCATTGCTTACTTTGCCTTTTTTCCCCCTCATTAATCTAATTCATTCTGGAAGTAGAAGTAAAATAAAATATTTGCATTAACACTTTAACCCTTAGCCTCCTCTTTAGTTCCATAATCAAAACGAGAAAAATCTCTTTCTCACCGATTTGTCTTTTTATTTTATTTTTTATGGCCGTAGCATGTGCAATGGAGCGAGCACCCATTACTTTAAAATCCTAGATCCGCCACTGCTCGCCACCCCGACCCCTAGAACCCAACCTACCATCCTCTCCAGCCCTTACTAATTTCATTTCCCATAGTATGTGCCTAAATTATATATTTTTCAAAAAATATTTTCTGCTACTTAACCAAACATTAGAAAATAAGTAAGAAAACGACTTATTTTCCAGGAAAATATTTCTATGAAAACATCTTCGAAGGAAAATATTTTCCATCATACAAAACACCCCTGTCATATCACGAATTGTGACAAGCTGACTTCTAGTGTGTTAATGTCACGACCTAGCCTAGTGCCATGACGGATAACCGACACTAAGTGTCGATCATCATTAAACCTACTGGTAATCTACTAATCATGAATATAATTGATAAATTGAACAAGCATAAGCACAATTGATAAGAATTGTACAATCTGGAAAGCCGACAAGGCTAACACAAGCTGACATATAAAAATATACTAACTGCACATGTGCATATCTACAAGCCTCTAGGAGTGCTAAATTGAACAAGTACTAGATGGAACAGGGCCCCGTCATACCCAAACTAGGTGACTGTACACCTACCAAAAGATAAGCAACTCCAGGAGTAAACAGAGTGACTCCAACTGTTGGTGGATAGCTTACTAATATGGTTCAAGCATTGATCTATCTGTACCTGCGCGGCATGAAACGCATTGCCCTGGAAGGGACGTGAGTACGATATGTACAAAATATGAAGGGTGAAAAGTATATATAAACCATACTAAAGTATGACTGTAAGCTGGAAATATGAATGTAAGTTGAAAGCTACAAGAGTCTGAACTAGCAATTGAACTGTAGTATAAGCTGAAAATGTGCTGAAACTGAATAACTATCTGAACTGGTACATGTCTGGTATTATGGGCTATATCCCCTTCCCCTAATCAGGTATCTGTACAACTGAACAAGCATCATGTATAGTCATGCAATGCAAATTGTAGCTATATATACGTATATAATATGCCTGACTGGTGTTATGGGCTATATCCCCCCAGCAAGTAAATATATAATCAATATGCCCGGCTAGTGTTATGGGATATCTCCCCCAGCATATAATCAATAGGCCTCACTGGTGTTATGGGCTATATCCCCCCAGCATAATCAATGTAAGCATGTATGAGCATAGCACATGTGACATCATCATATGGACTCAAGAGATCATGAAGGAAACCATAAACGTAATCACAAACATAATCTGACACTCGTCGTCCATAAGTTGGACGGAGGAGCCTATCCCTATTTTAGGAAGACACTGAGTATGTGCATGAATTACTAAGGTTAATTAAATCATTAAGATCCCTCTAGAATCAATTTAGAACCAAGCAACTCAAGATTTGTCCAACTCTTCGAATTTCAAAAAAATTTGGCAGAGTTTCCCCTAAAACTGGATGATCCCTGAAAACAAAAGCAAACACCAGAATATACACGGGAATGGATAGCCGGCCAAGATGAAATAAAACTAAAGGAGATCCAATTATCCACAATAGTTTCAAACGATCGACAAAATGGAATTATGAATGTAATGTCGACTCATAGTGGCTAACTTGTGACATGAAAGTATAAATATGATTTAGAAATAATCTAAGCACCAAAACATGATAGTTAAGCTTATAATCTTAAATTAATCTATTAAGATCATATGGAGGTTGGGTATAGGTAAAAATATCAAAGGAACAGAATAAACGAAATTCCGGATGGCACAGGCCAAATGGGCGATTCGCCTTTTTGTTTTTGTTGTGTTTTGAAATTCCAACCTAAACTAGTTTTCTCCATATTCCACATATGGAATTGAAACTATACAACAATACAATACATTCTGAAATTTCCTTTGAGCAACTCTTAAAATATCAAGAAGAAAGACTAGAGTATAGCTAAACCAATTTATGCCAAAATTGAAACGCCTACATACATCTTGTGTTCTTGCTTCCAAACCTTGTTCCCTTTGATCCACACCCTTACTTATGTGTTTATAACTAAATTACAGAGGTGAAAATCTTCCTTAGCCACGAAGCTCTTTCTAAAACATGATTCAAAAGGAGAAATGAGGGCGACAAAGTCTTACCTATGTCGTAAGGATCACGTTGATGTGTTTGCTTCTTGATTTTGAGTTGCGGATGATGGAATTACTTCAAAACCTTAAGGATATTCTTAGAAGGTGTAGTGAGAGTTTTTAGGTTTGATTTGGGTCGAAATGAGGCTTCGAGACGAATACTAAAACTTTATGTATCAAGATAATCTTCAACCGACCTTGTGTGTCCCAAGGGGAGCTGCTTGTGCAGTCTTGCAAAAATGCTAATGTCTCTCCAATACCATATTGTATCGTCAAACGGTTTAATGAATTAAAAATAGACTCGTAGATATTCAATTTGGTGGATGGATCACCCCGTAATTCCAAGTACATTGAGAGAAAAGCTTAGTAACATTAGACCTAAAGTTTATGTAAAGTTATGAACGTAACTTGTGACAACTTTTGTCGACTTTTGTTTCATAACTCGTTTGACTTCAAAACTTAACACACGACTATAATAGGGCTAAAATACCTCATAGCATCACCTCCTTATCATGTTAATAACCCTAATTTCACCACAAAAGTACGGGTTATAACATTCCCAACTCGCCAACTTTCGACGAAACTTATTTTCTTCGATTCGTTTAGCTTCTAAATCTTCCAACCCCTCTTGGTTCTTGCAATTTATGATCTTAAATATTTGTAACCTCCAAGTTAACATGATTAACTTATATTATGTACTTTCAAAGATGATCTCATTTTCGAGCTTATATCAATTAATTTACGACGTACTATTACGTACAAAAATATGGGGTGTGACAGTTAATGTGCGGCACTTGAAGTTCAATTGAACCTATAGTTAATATGATCATATGCCTAAGATCATGCGTTTGAACGAAACAGAAAAGTACACCTATACATTTCCACGCCTCAAACACAACAGTGCTCCTCGTGGTCAATGGTCATGACCTGAGGCGGATCCAAGATTTGATGATTACGGATGCCATTGTATTTAATGTAAACTTTTCACTAGTCAAGGAGATTGAATAGGGGTGTACATTTAGCCGGTTCCTTTAGTTTTGAATTAATTCGGTTCGGTTCAATCCAATTTTCAATCAATTAGTTCACTTTACAAGGTTTTTGGTGCATAAATACACACGTTATACCCAAATTAAAAATGTTTGGCCCTTTGAAGGAAAAAATAACATTAAAGATGATTGAATGAGGTGAAAATAGACAAGTTTTGATGTCATTCAACATGAAATTGGTTGAAACAAAGGAAAAGAAAAATGATTAAAAGCATATTGAAATTTCAAAATTCGAGATTTGGAAAAGCAAAACAGAAACAAATCTACTTTTATAATCTATATTGTAACTAATAAATGGAACTGTATATACTATATAGAGAGAAAATACAAAGATGAAAATGAGAAATTTAGAAAAATAGAAGAAATGAAATTTTTGAAAGAGGGAACAAGAAAAAGTAAGACTGGGCTTGCTAAAAATTGAGTCAAGTAAGGCCCAACCTGGCAATTGGCACCTTTACCATGGCACCCAGCATAATTTTGTAGCCGAGCTTCAACCTTGACTAGCTTAGCATAGTCTTTAGGTATGCCTGGTATGAAGGAAAACCAAACTTGGGGTATTCACTCTTGCACATATTAGTATAACAACCTTCATGCGAGATGTGACCCTTAATTAATCCTTGACTGGAACACAATGCTCACCCTAAGTATGACTTCATTGACACTCTTAGGACAAGCAAAGTAACATATTTGGGTGGTTGTAGTCTTGTGAGTTTTCTAGTTGTCAGATACTCCTCTTGAGCCCAATGCCCCACAGGTTGCCTGTGCAACTGAACGCCTAAATTAAGCATTCAGCTTCAAA